CCGTATTTTAAAATATATTTATTTTAAAATAGAATCGGTAACTAATTTCGCGGAGGCTCGTTTTTTAAGGGAACAATTTCGGTCCATTTACTAAAATGATCAACCATAACAAGGAGATAGCGACTTTTATTTAACTGACTTTTTGGGAAAGGGCCCAATAAATCGATGCCGATTATTTCATTTGGAAATTCGGATTTAATACTATTTAGAAAACCCGGCCGGGCGGAAAATTAATATAATTAACGGCTTGACATGTTGGGCAGGGACTGGACATACGCCCTTGTTAACTTTTGCAGTTCAGGAAAGTAGACTGCCTCGCGTACGCGTTGGATAGTTTTTTTCGAATACCAGCATGAGAAGCTAAAGGGCTGTCATGGAGCTCTTGCAGGATATTTAATCTAAGACTAGCTGGGATAACAGGTCGAAATTCGTTTGTTGGAATTCGTAGTTTTGTGTAGTAGAATAATAGACCATCTATTAGTTCGTAATGGGCCGCCCTATTTCTTATCGCCACAATATCTTGGTGGCTAAAATTTTCAGGATCCTTGAAATACTCATAAATACTTTCAAACTCAGGATCCTTACCCAGTTCGGTTATTACAGTTTCTCGGGAATTTATTGTACACGCTGTCAGCATTGCAACTTTTACGGTATTACCCTGTTCGTCTAATTTAATTCGTGATAGGGCATCTGCTACGATATTTTCCTTTCCGGGCGTATGCTTGATTACCAGATTATATTCTTGCAGCTTGAGTGCCCATCTTATTAACCTTGGGGATAAATTGTTTTTCCTGAGTACAATCTAGTTACCGCCGGCATGATCAGAATATACTGTTATCGGCGCCTTTCCAAAATAGACTCGGAAACTTTTGCACTGCTAACAGAACTGCAAGTGCCTCTCTCTTCGGTCGCGGAATAGTTTCTTTGTGTTTGATTTAAAGTTCGGCTAAAAAATGCCACGGGCTGCTGATTTTGCGAAAGTACCGCTCCTACCGCATAATCCGAAGCATCCGCTGAAATTTCTAAATTTTCATCCTTTTCAGGAAATTTCAACACAGGGGCTTGCGTTAATGCTTGTTTTAATTTTTCGAAAGCACTATTGGCTTCGGCAGTCCACGAGAAATCTTGCCTTTTTCCTTTTTAATTTTAACAATGGCTCAGCGATAGCCGCAAAATCTTTTATAAAGGACCTATAATATGAACAAAGTCCTAGAAAAGAAGAGAGCTTCTTTGCCGTGTTTGGAGTCGGATACTTTTGTACAGCGATTATTTTTGATTCATCTGTCTCGATCCCTTTTTGCGATATTTTGTAACCTAAATATTTTTAATTCAGGGGCTGCAAATTTGCACTTTTCGACATTAACTTTTAGACCGGCCTCATTTAATAAAGAAAACACCTGTCTTAAATCCTGTACATGTTGGTCTAGATTGTCACTAGTAATAATGATATCGTCTAAATAGATAAATGTGGATGGACTTTCCAAGAACAGGTCTTAACACAATGTCCATGCATCGCTGAAATGTTGCTGGGGGCGCCTGAAAGGCCAAACGGCATTCGCAAAAATGCATAAGTGCCAGACTTGGTTATAAAAGCAGTCTTAGGCACGTCCTCAGGCCTGACCCCTATTTGAAATAACCATTCGTTAAGTCTAAAGTCGTCATAAATTTGGTTGATTTTATGTTCCTTAAAATTTCTTCTATGATCGGTAACGGATATACCGGATATTTCGTTATGGAATTTAATTTACGGTATATCAATAGCGAATCTCCCACCTTTTTGGATGCTCCAAAGGATAATCATTATTTTTCTTACATAAAACCCACCGGACTAGCATAACTACTTGAGATAGGCGTTATGATCTTTTTACGTAGCATATCGGTAATATGCCATTCTATAATTTTTTCCTTATTCTTATCATACCGGTATGGTTTTTGACGAACCGGCAATGCATCTCCGGGTGTCAATACTATGGTTAGTAACCTGAGTAAATCCTGGAATATCACTAAATAAGGAAGCAAATTCACTTACCACTTGTCGGATTCTATCTTGCTCGTCATTAGGCAGGTGGTCAGATTTAACCTTGGCGGTTCAACCTTTTCTACACGCACTGGTTTCATCGTCAGCTTAAGGGACGCTTCATTAAAATCCAGTGTAGCTTGTGCGTCTGAAAGAAAGTCTATTCCTAGGATTAAATTTGCTTGCAAATTCTTTACTATAAAAAACATCACCTTTACTTGTTCGTCCTTGATACGGATGTACAAAGGTACTTTACCTACGCACTTACATTGTTCTCCTTGCGCCGCTATTACTGTTGTTACTGTTGTATTATCCGCATTATATATGCGGTATTTGCGAAAATACTTTCTAAAAAAGACTTCTGCCACACAGGAACACTGCGCGCCGGTATCCAGGAGTGCGGTGGCCGGGATATTATTTACCAAGACTTCAATCTTCGGAAGAGTTAAATTTTTCACCATTACTGTATTTAACTTGTAGGAAGAGGGTTTTCGTGGCCTTCGGATTTCCGCACCCTCTCGTCAGCAGAAATCCGTTTTAGTTTAAATTATTTTTCCTTTCGGTGCTTTCCTTCTTTCTCCCTGGCCCTTGAGACTGAGACTTTTTTCCTGGGTTTGCTATTGAACTGTTGACGTTCGCCGGCTGTTTTTGAATGCTCGGGTTTCCTTGCCCACTGATTCGCTTTTTCTCCGTAGCCATGTGCTTGAGTTTGCTGTAGTCTTGGCGTACCAAATTGGTTTCGCTGTTGATATTGGCGCGTCTTCTTTCGACGTCCGCCGTTCTTCTACTTTCAAACTGCATTGCTAGCTCAAATAACTTTTCCAGTGTAGTCGGATTTCGTAATTCAATAAAGTCTTGCACTTGGGGTAGTAACCTCGGCAAAATCACTTGAATTATTTCAGAATCCGGACGGTTTCCATACAAGAGCTTGAAAACGTGAATTTTTCTTAAAATAAAGCTCGAGAGGTTTTCCATTCTTTGTTGATATATACTGAAAAGTTCTGTTTCTAATTTCGCACAATCCCTTACAACAGGGAAGGCTTTTAGTAGGGCAGTCTTGAAATTTTCGTAAGTATAGGTGGGACTTCCTGCTTGACCCAAGAGACTTCTGCCGATACATTTGAACCAGTTAATCGCTTGGCCCCTCAAAGCGCTGGTAGCTAAGGTAACTTTTTGAAACTCGTGCACGGGGTAGAGCATGAAGTGGTCATCCAATTTTTCCAAAAAACTGGTTACCTGTGAGTTTCCATTAAACGTTGCTTCTGGTTTCATCGAAGCGCGCATGGTCTGGACGATGTACCCAAATCCTTCCAGGGCGGCAGCTGGCATTTTCTGGATTCTGAGCCGTTTCTGCAGGCAGCACAGGTTCTTCTGAAACTCGCCATGGTTATTCTTCGTTCGGGCGCCACTATCAGGTTCAATGTTTCTTCTAACCTTCTTCGGAAACATACAATGACCTGACTAGAACAGAGAGCTTACTAAAGCTATGTTCACTAATTGTAGTAAGTAGACAGGATACAGACGAAGGGGTATACAAAACCCTTTATTTTTCTTTATATACAATGACTTCCGTACTTCGGAATACAATGACCCTCCACTCGGGGTCTAACGTAAAAAGATATCAAAATAAAACTAAACTCTAATTTAACTTTAGAATAAGATTGGCCTTATAATAACAGGAAGCGTATGTAGCACAGAGACTGTGAACACTACAATACGTTTAATTTATCAAGAGGATTAAAACCTCTGGCCTGGAAGGCAAATAGCAACTGCGTAACTTCTAAGGTAAGCGGCCTGCTTCGAACTCACTGCTTCCTCTCTTCTGCTTGGCAAAAAGGCCACACTTAAATACTTGGCGTTCGCCAGACAACTTTGCATAAACTCCTTCACGCTTATAATTCTGGCCGGAAGTAGAAAATAAGAAGTGATAGTAAAGATTTAAAATAAAATAAACGTTAGTAAAACTTAAGATCCTTAGAACTTGAATGTAAATACCGTGTTCACACACACACACACACACACACACACATACATATATATACCGTGTTCACAAAAGTCCTTATCTGGCCTTTATTTTTGCATCTAGTGGTCATAGATAGGCACTTAGAAAGATATTTTAAATGAAGCACAGCTTCATATTTATGTATTTTTAGATTTCAGAAATTAGTTTTGCTTAAAATATGAAATTTAACTTTTTATATGTTTCTGCAGTCCCTATACTTATGTTTAAGAAACTGTTATAGTCATTATATGTATTAAAAAAAGTTTGAACTGTGTATGAAAAACTGAACAAGATATTTAATTTCAAAATTTCCAATTTTTGGCATTATTATCAGCTTTTCTTGAGGGTCAATTAATGAATGAATTAGAATAATTTGAGGTTGATCATCCCCCCTCCTTAAATGCATTCAGTGATAGTCTTTTAGGATAGCTTTGGTATATTATGGGTTTGGTATTTCAAGTTTTTATAATTTTTAGGTTTCAATTTCACATTTCTTTAATTCGTATTTTGTATATTTATAAATTTATTGGTATTGAATTTAACTTTATGGGGTTTTAGTGTAAAATAGGTTCTAAATTTCTTTGGGAGAGAGAGAATATAATTTTCTTAAAGCAGAATATATCTAATGCATAAACATATTTAATTTAAAATAAAGTTTATATATAGGAATGATTTAATTATATAATAATAATTATTTTATTACAATGTTAATTTTGATTTAGATTGATGAAATGACACTACAAGCTTGAATTCCGATTAATGATGAGTAGTTTCTTTTTAATATAGCTGCTTAAGTAATACTGAGCATAAAACTTTTAACTGTCTTGCTGTGTATTAAATACGTATTTTCAGTCTTGTTATCTGTGTTTGTTTGTGTACTAGGACTAATTATGTATTCTGAATTTTTAATCCTTTGTTTAAAACAAAAGTTTAAAAAATTATGTGTTTAAAGCAAATTTTTGTTTATATTTATTGTTTTAGGATTGCTGTACTAAAAGGCCATAGACACAATGTTACTGGTTGTTGTGCAGATTCCTCTGGCAGTATTTTACTTTCTTCCAGTTGGGATAATTCAGTAAGACTATGGAGTTTACGAGATGGGAAATCACTTTCTGTTATTAGTGATTTCAGGTGAACTTTTTTTTTTTTTTTTTTTTGGTAGAGATAAATGCAGCTTTGGGCAAGAATTAATAAAATTATTACACATATTCCATATTTGCTGGTAGCTTGTTTTCATATAGGATTAAAATTATTTCTCAAATGTCTGCCTTAACATGTTGCATAATAATGTAAATTTTATTGTGACAAGCATGAAGTAGATTTAGAATTAAATATGTAAGAAAGATAATTTAATTTTCAATTAAAGCCAATGCAGCTATGTCTTATTTAAGATACATTGTATTTCATTAATACTGTAATACTCATTAACATGATATTAAATTTTGTAAAATAATTTTTATGCATTAAAATTTAGTATTCTTTCATTATTATTTAGTATTTTAAATTCTTTGTAACACCAGTTTAACTGCCCACCACTAAGCACTTGTAGCTTGGTTCAGAATTTGAATCCTGGTAATTGGGCTGGCTGCATATGCATTTTTGTGGTTTTTACCATGTGTAATGAGGATACAAGCCATTTTCCCTTAAAATATCCTCCACGGGGTGTCCCTTCCCTTGACAGATACTACTGTGTAAATCTCTATAATCAGTTAAAAAAGGAAACAAACCATCATATTAATATTCTTTTTTTCTCTTGCCCTTATTTTTATATTTCTGGTCATTGTACATGCTGAATTGCCCTACAGAATCAATGAAAAGTTTTAATTTTTTTTAGATGCCCAGTGAATTGCATTAGTCATCATCCAATCAAGCAGCAAGCTGCATGTGGTTTATGGAATGGAAATATTGAAGTGTGGGACACAGTTTCTTTAGAAAGAAAACTTGTAGGTTTTTTTCTTTTTAATTATATCCTACATTCTGTTAGCAATAACTTTTTGTTTTGTTATGGTGCATACATATGGTTCTGTCTGTGATCCAGTCATTGGCTTATGCTTTTTGTGTTTTAGTCATACAATATTTACATGTATGCACATGGATTTGATACTAAAAAATGATTGTACTTCGGTTTAAAAAAAATACAAGTCTTAGGAAGTATATTTCAAGACTCAAGACTTTAACTGCCAATGATAGAGAAAATATTGTGTGACATATAAAAATGCAGTTTAGTTTATTGTATACATCACATGCAATAAGACATTACATACTTCAAATAAAGTAATACTAATATAACACATTCCATACTGTAGACTAATAAAATTAATGCAAAATATGCTAAACATTGCATTGTTTACATTTGGGTAATGATCTTTATGCTCCTGAAGATAAAGGATTTTATAGAAAGTCATTGATATTATAAAAGTGCATTTAATATACTGTCATTAGCAATTGATTTCTTGCACCAATCACTGGGATGGAACAATTGGTGTAATAAGTGGTCATTATAACAAGCCTGAATGATGCAATAGTGCCCTCTATATGGGCTCTTCAGAATGTCTGAGAAGAAAATTGCCTTAGATGTAAGTTTCAAAGTATTGCAGCTCACCCACATCTATACTTGGCTTCAGTCACTATAAATAAATGGGTTCATAACTGACCTTCTGTGTATTCTCAGGTTACAAAATCAGATATCCTCACTACTCTGAGCTTGTAATCCCAGTTCTCTGATCATAAATAAATATATTTTTTGGTAATCGTGGCTGTCAATGATCATAGACTATTTGTCTTATATTTGTTTCCGTATTTTCTTATTTCTTATTCTTACCAGTATTTTCTTTATAAACTTGCTCTTAGCATTCGCCTTATTTTCATTAGTAATGTGTTCTCTCACCTCTTTTTATTTCTGTTCTTTTTCTTATTGAAATTTTTATATACCACTGTATTTCATCAATCAGAATTAACCACAGTTATGCATATTGCATAAATATACTGATTTTTACATCTATTACTCAGATTCTTATCTACCAAAATATGGAATTGCGACATATATTAATCTAACCTTTCAAAAGATGAAAAGAAAATTTTAAGAATGCTAAATTATATGTAGGTCTTCTGTGGAAGATATAAATAAAAATAATTCTTTACCCAACAGGTATGGATACTGAATGAAAGACATATGAGTTAAATATTGATCACCCTCTGAACTGAGACCCCTTCTGTTTACATGCGCCCAATAAGGTCTAAAAGAAATGTTTAAGGGGTGACATGTCCCATACGAAAATGTTTTATAGAGGCTGATAGATCTTTACAAAAATTTAGAAATTTCTTCAGAACTTTAAAGATAGTGCTTTATAGAAATGTGTCTCTTTAAAATTCTATTGAAATTGTATAAAGGTTCCAGAGAACAGAATTTTGTATAAATGCTACTTTGCAAAACTTTTAGAAAGCATTTTTAGAATGGTATTCTGTATAAATCAAATGTTTTAAAATTGCACAATTTTTATAACTACAGTCGAACTTGCTTATAAAAAGCGTGAAGGAGCGGCAATATATGCTCGTTATGACCGAGTGCTCGTAAAAAAACAGGTTCAGGGAAAAATCATAAAATTTCATATATACTTACTGTGTTATATAAGTATTCATTTATTTTTAGTTTCTGTGCAGTAGAAAAGAAGTTGGTTAATTTGCTTTTAACTGTCTTATTGTCTCTTTCTTATCTTACTGTTTATTGGAACTGAAAAGCATCGTCATTTGCACCCCTGGCTTTGGAAAACATTTCAAGTTTTTCTATGCACTCAAAAGGTATTGAGTATGTTGGGGGCGGTTCAGTTTGAAATTCTTCAGATTCTTTGTTATCATTACCTCTTTCATTACGTTTTTCATCCTTAGTTAAATTTCAGCTACAATATCCCCAGGAATAGTTATCTTGGAAGTGATAACATTGTCATCAACAGATACATAATGTTCAAATTTATCTTTATTCATTTCAAAATTTTCCAAGTTGTCTACCTTTTCTTCTTCCTCAGTGATTTGCACCTCTTGAGAAATGTCCAATCCTGCCTTACAGAAACAATTGGTAATGCATGCTGATGTAACTTTTTCTCATGCATTGTTCATTAAACATATTGCTTCAAGTACTGTTACATTAGCATCTACGGTTGTTTTTGTTTTTTCTCTTCTATCGAGAAGCATAAAAATCAAGTGCTTATGAAAGTTTGATTTAATAAAACTTCTGATGACCCTTTGGTCAATAGACTACATGACCCATTCATCTTGGCATTTTTGCTATGGTCATAATCAACAGGAACCTTTTTTAAATGCTTGAAACACCTAGGGGTTTTGGACTTACCAATAACCAACAGTTTCTTCTCCTCAGTACCAGACACTTTAAAATGCACTCAAATTGTCAACCGATTTTTGGAGAGCCAGCCTCTGATGCACTTTTTGCCCTGAACTGCTGTGGAGTTATATTATAGAAAACATCCATTTGATTGGTATTATGTCATCTTTCGGGTATTCTTCTATGCTGATTTGCTGCTGTTGACTCTTCCATGTCGTGATATTCACCATTTTTGCAGACTTTGCTTCACCACAAAATTTTCCACATAGTTAACCCATGTGGATTCTTGAATTGATCCGGCCATCCATTCGAACATGTAAATCCAGAATAGTGCAACTGTTCAGCAAATTTTTCTGCTTGAACTTTTAAAAGTGGTCAGCTTACACTAAAATCTGCTATATGTTGCACCTTTGTCCACTTTAGAGATTCATCCAAATCCTCTTTAACATATTTTTTTCAAATGCTTACAGTCATTCTTATATTGATCGAATGCAGCCATTAATTTTTCCTTGTTCTGAAATCGTGCTGAAATGGTAGAAGATAAATCATACTTTTTGCAGATTTCATAATTTTTTACGCCACCCTCTGGATCCCCAAAAATTTTACTTTTTCATCAACTGATAAAATTTTACATTTCAACATCGCAAGATAAAATTTTACGAGCATGCTCTATGAATACAGATAAAAGAATAACCCACACACAAGTCCTCTACCCTGCCACTCCTACACAGAGTAAACTTCTGTACAATCAGCAACCTTTGTCATCTTCCCAATGTGGTCATCACACTGAGATTCATCATGTGTTCACAGGATTTATGATTCATCACTAACTTTTAGTTGACTTCGGAATGTTAAAGGAATTTTTCTAAAAAAGGATTAGCTGAGCTGAAGAGATGGAAATCAATAGAAATTTTATGAATCAGAAAAATATTGCTCTCTATAACCGGGGTTTGCTCGTTCAAAGTGAGTTATGCTCCTATAGACTTAACATTGTACTAATCAAGTATTTCAAATTTCCTCATTAAATTAGGGCCTTTATAAGCGAGAAATAAGATATATTTAAATCTTTTTTATCTTATTTAATTATTTTTACATTAAGAACTAAAATTTAGTATGAAGTTTTGATAGTGTTTTAATAAGGGTTAAAATGCTTATAATGAGCAGCATATGTGGTACACTATAGGAAACATGAGAAATTTGATATCATTTTGATTTGTCATGTGTTCTGTGGTATATGGTTATATATGCTACTTATATACATATGCTGCTCAGATCTGCAGTGTTTTTAAACCGTAATCAAAGTAAATTTTTAATAATCTTTTTTGAAGAAATAATAAGCACATTTAACTCATAAGTTCTCCTTGATTTGTTTCAGTCATATATTACGTGTGAAAGGTTTTTTTTAAATTGTAAAAATGCATAACATTAGTTAAAACTAATAATTCAGAATGTAAGCTTAAAAAATATTTAAGTTACCTGATTTTGATTTAACACGAAATTCTTAAAATGCATGCAGAAGTTCTCAAATAGAGCTTTTAGAACAGGGAAGTTGTTTGACTGGACATCCATGCTCTAAATATACAGATCTACTTAATGACGGAATGTTTCTCTAGGAAAATCCCTAAACTTTTAGAGAAGTTTTATGATCATAATTTATAGAAATAAGTTCCAATTTTGTTTATAGAACTTAGATTTCTCTCTGAGGATATTTGTCACTATAATTTTTCATTAATTTAAAAATGCTAAACTTTGATTTTAGATAACATTTAATGACATTTTCAGCATAACATTAGGCAATCAATTACTTTTTAAATCTCATTCTCTAAATATTCACGAAATTATCAAACTAAATGAACTCTGCTGATTTCTTCTAAGCTATACCATGTATGGAAAGCTTCTAAAGCTGTTAAAATATTATGTTAACATGAATTATTCAGTTTCAGAATGAAAAGTCTTGTTAGTTCTCTTCATTTTTTAGGGAACGTACTATGTTTACCCAAACAGTTGAATATTGAATCTAACTTTTCTTCAATTTTGAAAGGTGAAATATGTGTACCTTGATTCTAAGACAGGACACTGAAAATGTTAGTACAGCTGATACTCATAATGGCCATTCCGTTACAATGATTAGTACAAAATTCTCCTACAGCATATTAAATCAATTTGTATTATAGTGATCAAACATTGTAACTTTTTTTTCTTTTGGAGGTGAAAACCCATTATATTGAGCTTAATTTCCATAATAAAACAATATACTTTACTTGAATGTCAAATTATATTATTATAATGAATGAGATTTCGTAATCATTAAAAAATTACTTTTGGTATTAGGCAAAGAACTTAGGTAATTTTCTTAAATATATTAAAATAAAATTGAAATTAATTATCACAAAATTTCAGCTATTCTGGTAAACTGCACAAAATTAATTAGCTATAATGATTATTAAAAAAAAGTTGGAAACTGTGTAAAGAAAAAAAATAATTTTAAACAGGATGAAAAAGAATTTAAAATGCTTTTATTTATTTGAAAGAAAAAAAAAAAAAAAAAAAAATGCAGAATGAAGAAGGATTTAAAATGTTTTTATTTATTCAAAAAATCTTGACTGAATTTTGTATTGCACCTGAGCTACATAAATACTTTAATTATCTTATCAGACTTTAATGCATATGTCGTCAAAAGACCGCAAGAGTATTATTAATCTTTACCTTAAACTGACTTCCTCCTTTTCATGTGTGAGAAAACATTTAACATGAGGTAATAATGCAAAAATTTTTCTTGGACTTCCTAACTGGGAGACGTAATAAATTACAATAGATCCTGATATCCCATTCCTTCATTTTTGCAGTCCTTGTCGTAGGCTTGTCTCCAGGAGCTTGAAAATAACTTTCACAATAAAGCTGATCATGAAATTTTCACTAGTGCAAAATCACTATTGACCTGTATCACTGACAGCCTGAAAGTGTCCTCTTGTGAGGAATCACAATAATAATATCCAGCTTGCCTTCACTTAACTGTAGTGCAGTTTTATTTCTGTGCAGTTCCCTTTCATATCTGGAACTACACAAAAACCAAACTAGAAGAAATTTTAAGGGCTTAATGAGCAGAAAATAAATGAACACCCCCCTCCCAAAAATGAAGAGCTCCACTATGGCTTCTATCTAGAACTGTGCAAAAAACTGCTTCTATAAAAACACTGTGTATCTATAATAATAACAATATTATATTATAGATGAATAATTTTTATGGAAGAAAAATGCCAATTTTCCTAAATTTAAAATTTAAAGATGTAAATTGAGTTGAGCAGATCATCTGGGGGCCCTCTAAAGCCTTGGATTGTTATGCAGCTGCTACCCACATATTTTCTACCGCTGGTTCCTTATAATTTTTTATCATAATAAAGCTTTTGATTTTACATATTTTATTATTTCTCTTAACTTTACATGTTTTTTCACATGTTTAACTTTTCTAAATATACGGAGATTTTTAAATTGTTTATCTTTATGGCTGTTAATTATTATTAATTTAAATCCTTAATTGATTTATATTTTATAGTTTCATTTTAATCTATATATTATAGACCTCTCTGTCTGTAATAGACTTTTGATTACAAATTCTTGTATTTTACTTCATTTCAGACACAATTATTAATTTCACTCACATATACAACCTTTATAACATCCTGCATATTCAGACATTTCTTTATAATTTTAATTTTACCTATTATATTTTCTAAGTGTAACTGACCATCTGCATAATTTTATTTGATTTTGTGCACAACTTTTTTATCTCCCCAATGTCCTTTACATTTGAATGCATATTTTTAAGATCTTCAATGTTAACAATGTTTAGCTTTAAACCTTGATTATTTTTAAGGAACCTTGATATATTCTGAATTTTTAGAATGAAGGTGTAACTTTAAAGCATAATTTTAGGATAACATTAACTCTTTTATGCACTCGTACATAAATTTTTTATACTACTTCTAACATTTAATACCCTTTAATTCAGTATTTTTTGCTATGTTATTACATTCATACCATTATTTTTATTATGTTAATGTACTGAGTACGTTATTTTTCACTTATTCCTTTTTTTCCTGGGCTAATTATGGTTATTTCTTCCTTCTTGAACAACTTTCAAGAGGTGCGAGCATTTATTTATGTCACATGTGCAGAGCAATTCCCAAAACTAATACTTTTAGTAATAAAGTAGTGGTGAGTTACCAGTGTTCAATGATTTTACCCAACTGGTTACCATTTCATCTCTTTGCATTTTATTTTATACCTTTATATCTAGCATATAAATCTTGACATGTTTTTTCTTAGTTCAATGTCAACCTAAGTGATTCGTTAGCTGATTTCACTCGCAGTCTATTTCATAATTTCTCATACTACAATTTTCTTTCATGAATGTCAGTTTTCATTAATTTATTTGCCAGTGCATTTTCTTATGAATGAAATTTTGTCAAAGATGACAATCCTTTGCAGAATGAACCAAAGAAAAAAAATGAGATGCATTTTATGCTGATTCTACGTTACATTTTTCAATATTTTAATTTCTGAGTATCCCAAATACAGAAATTTCTTAAAATCCTTTTCATATCAGTTAAAGATATCTTAATAGTTTTCATCTAATGAAGTATAATATATTTTCATTAAATCTTTTCACACAGTTTTCTATCCTATAAGTTTGCATTATTGGAACTCTGTATGGATCTTTTGAGAATGTTTATTTAATTAATGATGTTAAATGGTTACATTTTCCAAGATGAAAATACCAAAGGCTATCTGATTTATTCAGACTTTGGTATATTATAAGTTGTCTTAGTACAGAATGCCCATCTTATTCTCATCTTCTTAACATAAAATTAAAAATTAAATGCAAAATAATCATGTTTCACTGCAGAATATAAGAACATTTACTCTTTCACTCAAATGAGGACAGAAAATTTATTTAAGTTATTTACCAGAATTTTAGGCTATTTGTAGAAAATATACTTTAGAAAACAATTTTATTTGCCTATAGGTGATTCTTTCTTAATGACTTTAAAATTATTACAGTTTGAAAAACCTAAAGTTCACTTTATCTAGACTTGTCACTATATACAGAAATGTTATGAAACATTTCAGTTTTGTAATGATTTTTATAACAATTTGCTGGTGAGCAACATTTGTGAATAAATGCTTATAACAACATTTTTTGTAAGCTTTTTCGCAGTAACAAATTGTTAGTACATTGCAACTTTTACAATATGTATAAATTAACTCTGTTTTTATATAATTATATATTTATTATTATTGTTATTATAAATTTATTTTTGTTTAACATTAATTTTTGTTACTGTGAATTCCCAGCAGTGCCTACCAAGCTTCCACATTTCTGAAATATGCTGTTACAGAAAAAAAAAAGTTGCTGACTCCTGGTATAGATAGTAGCAGAGATATCAGTGGAATTTCATTTATTTGCCTGTGGCAAGATTTGACGAGTTCTCGGCAATTTGGTGACATTCTGGAAGTTTTTGGAAAGTTTCCAAAGCCTAGGAATGATTTTTCTCAAAGCTTCCAAATGCACTTTCCCTTCCCTTTAAACTAGAAGCTATGAATTTCAGTCATTTAGGTCAAGATGTTTATTCGTTTCCACTGTTGAGTGTCTGCTTAGTGATTACTGACTTTGTTCAGCAGGTGATTTTGAAAATTTTCTATAGTCTCTACATATTAAAGAGATTTTTGCCTTATGTGTCCTTCTGTTATTTATTTCAATAAAGATTCAATTCTGCCTAGTCATCTGGCTATGCTATTTAAGGAGATCTCTAAAGACACATAGGGCGTAACAGCATGAACTTCTTTCACTCATTAAACTCTGTTGCAATGATATTAAATTTGCTTTTGTATTATTATAGGTTTCAAGTAATTTTTGGTATATTTTCAGGTTCTTCTTGGGTATGGTGGCTCTGTGAAATCAGTTTCATACACTTTAGATGGTATTAATATCATTGCATCTTACATAAATTCAGAACTCATAATATGGTCTTCTGAACAAGGATTAAAGGTTTGAATACTCAGTCATGTTTGTACTTTAGAGCTTCTTTTCATTCCAATAATTTATTGTATTAATTGCTCATTGTGATAATATTTATTGTATTAATTGCTAACTTTTGAATTTATTCTAATTATATGAGTTACTTCTAATCTAGGAATATGTTTTATCTTATTTCTTTTGTAAATTAACTTTTAATTGGGGATTACATTCTTTTTAAGTTTCCTTAGCATAATTGGGAAGTGAAAAACAACATAATGAAAGAGTATTTAATTTTCTTTAAGAAATTTGCTAAAAAACCTTGAATTACTATGCAGATTAAGCAAAACAGTAAAAATATCAATGAAAATCAGAAAAATTCAAAACATCTCATTTGATTTTAAAGCATTCATTTTGTTTTTCTGGAGAAATCTGAATAAATGTGAAACTGCTGTTTCACATTTATTCAGAGAGAATGTTTTCTTTGTTGCAGAAATCTTAGATCTCATTGGAAGCTGATCTCTATTCCCAGTTTCATTGGAGGCATTTGAAAATTTAACTTATTTTTCACTTCATCCTCGCTTTAGTTGCTATGACTTAACTTCCTAAAATGACAATGATTTGCAGGGGAAAGATTTTTCACATGGAAAGTGCTCACATAATACTTTTTATGCCTATTTTATGAATATTTCTTTAAATGTTTGATACAAAGTTGGTCTCTGGTTGTGGACACTGAACTTTCCATTTTGGCTGTATCAGAGATTTTGATTTTTGTCATATGTCGCTTAGGACTGATAGTATATAAAACTCATGAACAGAGCCAAGCTCAGGTGTTTTTCACCTGAATCAAAAAAAATAAATACATGCCCCTACATATAGTCTAATTAACAGTATCTTTTATCTAACTTGTGACAGTATTCATTTATATTGTTATGAATTGCATACAAATAAATGATTTTAGTGCAGTTATATGTGAAATTGTTGTATTTTTTTGTGTAATGTAACATGAGAATAATCTGAAGGATACAAGTTATGCCCGGAAAGGCAAGAATACAGGTGCAAGTTTATTTAATATTGAGTAAATGGATATGTCGATAATTTGGGAAGATTTCGCTAAATTGACAATGGTTTAAGCGATTTATTTTGTTGCCAAATTTGTTGAGAAATCGCCAAACGTCACTAGATTTCGCTACCATTTGGCCACATTTTGGTCTGGTCCTTGTATCATCATAATATGTATTGAAATGGAATAAATGTAATTGGCCACTACATTAGCAGAAACAGTAATTCTACCCTCATATTGGTTTCTAGTAGTTTAGAGAAGCAGAAAGTACGAGAAATATCTCGGCAGCTGGGTGAAAATTATATAAGGCTGGAGAGAGCATCTGCTATCGGTAGTAGTTGTTATTGTTGTTGCGAGTTGTTAGTTCAGCGTGAACTGAGATAGCTCCGGGCTAGTTTTGTCTTTAGGTGCATTTTACATTGCATTGTGTTTAGTGTTCTGAGTAGTTTGAAGTCTAGCTACTGATTTGTACTCTGTGATACTGTGAACACCTGTACGAGTATGTCTTTGGAAAATTCCAGAATTTTGAAGTGTTTCGTTTCATAAAAATAAGTTTTATTAACCTATCATTGGACCAGTGTGTACTCAGTCTATTATGCATCCGTATGCATGCAACAAAATTCAACAAAGTTATATATGTATACATGGTAAATTGTATAATTAAAAAAGTTGAGAGAATAATGATTTGAACTATCATACTTTCTTAACACGACTTCGACTACATTCCGGTAAATCTTATAATAATATTTTAATCATAATTTCGTATATAATTTTTAAATGAAAACACTAATGGTACCTTTTCAATAAGTAGCAAATAACACTGAAAAAATGTAAATGGTATTACATTGATATACAAGCTTTTTTATATACAAGCTTGCTTTTAGCAAAGTAAAATTAACAACAGGTTTTTTTTTTTTTTTTTTTTTTTTTTTTTTTTTTTTTTTTTAATCTAGTTGATTATTTAATTTATGGAGGAACTTTCATGGTGGAAACAATGATATCTGAAATTCTTTTGGGCCAAAAGAAGGTTTTGCATATTCATTTGAAATTTTTTTCATCTTAGCAATAGTGAATGGCAATGTTAAAAATATTTTGAACACCGTTTCTGAATTCGGACATGGTTAAATTAAACTGCATTTACAAATTGTCTTTAAAGGATCTGATTTTCCTTTAGTGATCAAAATTATTGGATCAGCATGATTTTTAAAACTAGATATTGTTACGGAATATTTGGAGCATTAATAACATTTGAATCTTTAAGTGCTAACTTAAAAACTGGTCCTTTTTAAAATACCTAAGCATTCCTCCTATTAGGCAGATAGCCCACGTATGCTTTGCCAGACTCAATCTAACATAACCTAACATTTAAAATACCTAAATCCTGTCACCAGTTATTTTTCACTAGTTAAAAGCTGGAAATCAGAAGCTATCTCATATAATAGTTGATATCTTAATTTTAATTGTGAGATTAAAATATCTGCCATTTCTACTAAAAAAATTTGTTTTATTTTGAAAATTAGTTCTTTTATCAATTGATTTTTGACAATCTTATATTTTAAACATTCTTTTTAACTTTGTGATTAGAATTTTTTTAAGCCTGAAACATGAAGAATTATCGATGGGCACACGAAATTCGGGCTGTGAACCTTCTGACTGCTAATCGGACCCATGCCTCTAATAACACCTCAAATGCATGTAGTGAGGAAGAAGAAAATTTGTTTCAACATTACTTCATATTCTTTAAAGCTAAATTTTAATATTTCTCAAATGTATTTTCTCATTCCCTGTGAAGACAAGATATAAACTTTCTGTTATGTTTGTTTAATTCAGTAGGGCAAATCTACGAGTGCTATTTGCCTAAGAAATAAGGGGAGTAATGTCTTCTTTCTAAAGGAAACTGAATTGAATTTATGTTTCACACGGAGAAAAAGATAAAATTAAGCAGGCATCCAACCCATTCCCAACATTCAGTATTAGGTTATTTCCTTAATTAAGCCAGCAGTTTTTTATATGTGTAATAATTTAGAAGTGCTGAAGATACATGTAGGTGCATAATGAAGAAATTGCATTTGTAGCTATAATTAAATAGTCCTTTTCATTCACGGTTCACATTTGCAGCTACATGGCACACTAATCATGCTTCTTCGAGAACTTTAACATTTTTTTATATTGTTGCAATAAGAAGAGATGCAGCACAGCAGAACTGAAAATTGACATTTTTCAGAATGAAAGTTTATTTGAGAACTAGTTAAGTTTTGCTTTACAATCTTTTCATTGGCTATTAAAAGTTTTGATACCAGTTGGTTGACTTTCAGTGTGCAATAGGTAAGGGATGGTTATGGGAAATATCCAAATTAAAATAATGAGCTATTGCGAATTAAAATTAGAATTTTTAATTTACATATTGTTGTTATATATCACTCTTTAATATATATGTATCCCTCTTTAACAGGAAAAAGGCTTGATGAAAGAAAAGCCTTTTCTTAAGGAAAAAGCACTAATAATAAATAATTTTAATAGTACTAGTAAATAAAGGTAAACATAATAATACAAAAAATATATATCACAAATTTTAGAATAGATTTATAAGAAAAGGAGAGGTTAAAGACCTAGCTAGGGCTGTAAAGAACATTTGAACATACTATCTAATTCCTGATATCACATGTAAAACAATGTCAAATCATCTAAATCAAAGTTAAAAAAAAGTACGTGAAAAAAAACCTATCCAATCTACATATATTGGAAAAATGCAACAATGAAATCAAAAGAAGTACGCGAAAAGCCCATTTAATCTACATAAAATAGAGAAATTGTACATATAAAAACATGGTTAATCTTCTCTGTTCAAAGCTTCAAATAGATCTTATCAAGAGAAAAGAGCTGGAAGCCCTCAACTAAGTTGATTAACACACAAAAACATGCAAACACGTTTTGTTGAACAAACATATTGTGACTGAAAACGGCCTTCCTTGTAATTAATTTTCTTATTCATCTACTACTAATAATGTCTCAATAGATTTGTTCCTTTTCCCGACATGTTTGCATGTCTTAAAACATCAAAGTAAAACTTAGAAACAAAAGCAATAAATTTTAAACTCTAAAGAAATACTTATTTTCTTAAAGAGAAAAATTATTTTAAAGATATAAGAAAAATCCTATACAAAGTGGCCTGGTAAGGCTAATATACAATCGAATTATTCATTGTTAATCTTGAAAGTTTCAATAAACATCAATTTAAGGGGCAAGTCCGTGAGCAAAATAATAATAATAATAATTTTAGAATTTAAAATTTTCGAATAATGTAGAACATAAATTTCAAGTACTATTTTTGAATATAAGTGGGAGTTTTGGAATTCTATTAATATTTCAATACAGTCCAAAAATATTTGTTTTTTAGAGTCCACATAATCATAAAAATAAAATCGAAAAATTTTCAGAAAATATCATTTCAACTTCTCTTTTTCACACAATGCTTAAAGGTTCGAGATTTTTACATAACTAATACTTCAATAGCTAAAACATGTAGCATTCTTATTTTCACATTTATAACTTACATTTTAACATCATAAATACTGTAGTGTTCTATTAAAATTATTCTGGTTAGATTCTGTTCCAGTTCAATAGAAGATAATTTTGAGTTTCCAGTTTGTAAACTGGATTAAATGATGAAAAGCAAGAGTGAAAATATATTTCATGTATAGTAACGCAGTTGCAAACACTGAGATTTGATGAGCTTGGAGCCCCATATCACCTAAGCAGTCATTAATTCATTTTATTTTGAATACGTTGCAGATTAATTATGAAGCATTTGCAGCTTACATGATCTCTAGTTTTGAAGCAGTTAAGTTGTATTTTTAAGCACTAGAAACATGCTGTAGAACAATGATGGGAATGATGGTAGGTTTTTCTAGCATGGCACTTATGACCCATTATTTTTTTCTTATACGAGGGCTATCCAGAAAGTAGATTACGTTTTGGAATAAAAAAAATAAACAAAGTATAGGAAACAAATTTTATTATATACAGATGAAAGCCACACTCAAATACTACTTTTCCACATAGTCACCATACAAATTAAGGCATTTATCGTAGCGATGTACGAGCTTGGAAATTCCTTCGTCGAAAAATTCGGCCGCCTGCGCCTTCAACCACTTTGTTACCTCTTCTTGCAGCTGTGCGTCGTCATCAAAACGCTGCATAGCCAGCCACTTCTTCATTGCTGGGAATAGGTGGAAGTCGCTCGGTGCCAGGTCGGGACTGTACGGCGGATGAGGAAACAACTCCCACTTAAAAGATTCAAGAACTTTACGAGTGACATTTGCCGTGTGGGGCCGGGCGTTGTCGTGAATCAACAAGATCTTAGAGCTCAACATTCCTCTGCGCTTGTTTTGAATTGCTCTTCTGAGTTTTTGGAGAGTTTGGCAATACCTTTGAGAGTTTATTGTAGTGCCTCTTTCCAGGAAGTCCACCAAAATTACACCTTTTCTGTCCCAAAAAACAGTCGCCATCATCTTCCTTGCCGACATTGTTTGCATGCATTTCTTGGGTTTTTGGGGAGAACTTGTGTGCCCCCACTGCATTGATTGCAATTTCGTTTCACAGTTCACATGTTTCACCCATGTTTCGTCACCAGTAACGATGCGATCGAGTAAAGAGTCACCATCCTTATGGTAAGCGTCCAAAAAGTTCAACGCTGCAGCCATTCGCTGATTTTGTGGTCCTCTGTCAAGATTTTTGGAATCCATCTTGCACAAAACTTGTGGTAACCAAGCTTTTTGCGCTGATGATTTCGTGCAACAAACTTCGCGAAATTTGTGGAAAACTCAAAGAAAGTTCCGTTATTGTGAAATTTCGATTTTCACGGACTTTAGCATCGACTTTTTCGAGAAGTTCGGCGGTCACTATGCTGGGTCTCCCACTTCGATCTTCGTCGTGAACATTGGTTCGGCCATTTTGAAATCTTATGACCCACTGACGCACTCCACCTTCAGTGATAATGTTGTCCCCATACACTTCACGAAGCTGCCGATAGATTTCTATCGGTTTACAGTTTTTTGCAGTCAGAAACCTTATTACTGAGCGCACCTCGCAGCTCGCGGGATTTTCAATTAACGCAGACATTTCAAACCGTCACAGTATCTGAACGGAGCACAGCACGAACCTCTCACTAGCACGGCTAGATGCAGACTGAGCTGCGCAACGCTCTGACCCCAAGATGGCCGCGCTAGCCCTGGCCCTAGCGGACACAGACGGAAACGTAATCTACTTCCTGGATGGCCCTCGTATTCTGCATCCCATCATTCTGTAAGCACACTGATTGCAATATGCATAAAATAAGGAACTTAAAATTAATAACAAAAATATAGTCATAATTTTCTATTAAAATATTGTAGTACAATAATACTACAATATTTATGAAAATTGGCTCTGTATCAAATGTGTGAATAAATTTTTTATTAAATTACGTATATTTTTGTTCTAAAATGTGATGAGCATTTACAGATATTTTTAGGATAAATAAATGAGTTTTTGTTTCATGATTATTGATTATGCAAGTTTTGTGTGCTTGGAAATAAGTTGTGAGTGTTCTGTTTTTAATGTTAATAGTCTAATAAAAAATTAGACTTTGTATTCTTAACTTTGTAAATTGCCTTGACAATTATACTGTTTCCCGTATCATTTTAAAACAGATTTCAAGTCTAAAAGGACATGCCTTACCTGTGAAGTGTATTACTTACTCTCCTGCTCAGGATATTATCAGTGGCAGTGATGATTGTACTTTGAAGGTAGTGAAATTTATGATAAATAAATATGATTGCACATTAATCTGTAATGGGTTTTTAACTGAATTATTTTTCTGGGCTCTTTTTTGTTGCACTTATTTGTCTTAAATTTTTGTGAGAAAACAGTTATCAGTTTTTCACGCTTCTATGCTTGATGTAATAAACAAGATTAGTTATTTTTCATCATTTTATATCTGCCATAATTCTTTGTGTATGTTTGATTATCAAATTATGGAAAAAAATCTGTTGTTTCTAGAAAAGATTATGCAAAATGACAATACACACCTCTTTTTATTTGTATTATGTATCAAAATCTGGTTTAATACACTGGTTTTCATAAATTGAAGGAAAATTTTAAAAATATATTAAACAGAGGATTATGTACTAAAAAGAATTGTAAACGGAAGTTTGGGTGAAATTTAGTGAAAACATAAGCTGCATTGTCAATTTTTAGAATGATGTAAATATATACAAAATATGTTCAAGCGCTTTTCGAAACTGAGACTGAACTGCTGTCAGCAAAGGGTGGTCAATCTCTGCATCAACCCAGATTAAACATAAATGTGAAGTTTTTTTTTTTTTCTTTTTTTTTTAAGTAGATCCATACAGCTATGCAGATTCAAAATTAATGCATGGTTTTTTAAAATATTTTAAAACAAAATTTTACTGTTCCGAGGATGTTTGATTGAACTAAAAAAGGTAAAAAGATCAACACCAACTCAGAAATAGTCAAAACTCATCTTCTGTTATTTTTTACAAATTGGATTCGAAAAATGAAAACTGTTGCCAGAAACGATAATACAATAATATGCAAGTTAAACATTTATAATTATTAAAAATGTTTGTGAGTTCCTGTCATACTAATTATTTATATTTTATGCCTTTACAGGTTTATTATTAAGCATCGCTTTCTTTGCAATTATTCATCAATAGCAAAATCATAAAATTTTTAAAAGCAGTGTTTCTTTAGAATTCCTGATACAGTGTTTAGTGTTGGCATATAATTTGTTATTTTTTAGTCTTTTCTCACTTTCTCATATCAACGTTCAGTTTTCTAAGTAAGATGACTTACAAAACTATTTTGTTTTTTTATTGATAATTTTTTGTGTGCTAAGTGCCACATGTGCAAAGAACGTGATATTTAAAATAAATATCACGTTCTTTGCACTTGTGGCACATAAATTTCAAAGCAAAATCCCAAACTATTTAAAATTAGCATATTTTACAATCGCTGTATTATTTCTTTAAAAATTAGATGCCTAAGATAGTTATCATAAAAAAGGAAAAGCATATAATTATTTTAATGAGTCCAACTAGTGAAATTTCATAAAAATGTTTAACATTTCTGATTAGATATTTCATGATTTTTAAGTTGTTTTTATTTAACTAAGTCGTATTAAATAGTAGAAAAAATATTCTTAAAAACTGTGTTTATTGCTTTTAAATCGCTTTGTTTATTGATCAGTAATCTTCCAGAATAAATTTGAAAGTTAAATACTTTGGGTTTTTTCTGAATGGCAGTATGCTGTGGCAAAAAATAAAAGCATTTAATTTCCAGCAGTTGCTTTGAAATAGCCAAGTTTGTTGATCAAAATTCAAAGATAAATATTTTACATTTTGCGCAATGGCAACAGTTTGGTGTCCTGATGATTCAAATAGTGATAAAAATTGTTTATTTCTTTTAGCTTTCAAATTGCTGAGTGTGTTTATCAAAAATTTGTTACATTTTTACAAAATGTGAAATAAAAAAAAGTACATTTGAATTTCAAAATTTGGGCTTCAGGGTGCACATATTTGGTTGGATGTGTACGCATATTAAAAATTTGGTGGCTGTAGGCATAATTTATTCAAGATTCAAGGAACATGCATATATACATACAGATTCTTCATTGTTTAATATTTTTAAACAATATATTCAACAATTTGAAGATTGAAAAAGACACAAATGTGATATGGACAAAAGGTGAGTTTAGAGATTAATAACACATTGGATGCTAACAATATACAAATGAAAAAATATAAAATACAAATAATGACACAAATGTTTAAAAATATAATCATATATGTATTCAGAATGTGCATTTATTTGTAAAAGTATATTGGAACACAAGCATAATTTCTAAAATTACAAGTATTGAAGCCCTATGTAAGGTTGTCTGGAAAATTTAACAAAATTAATTAACTATAATAATGAATAATTAAAATTAGATGAAATCTAAAGATATAAGTAAAAAATTGATAAATTATGTTTTATCTGTAATAAATAGTAGAATAATGAATTGAAATACAGGATCTCATTTTATTCCTGCAGCTGGAATTCCAGTTTCATTCAAAAATTTAAAAGTACAAGTGAGCTCTGGCTGAATTTAAGCTCTGGTTGCAACTTCTGTAAACAGTTTTTGTGATACAAAGTATTTCACATTGTTTTTATTTATAGAACAATTTTAGCAATTATGAGTAGTCATACTTTTGTATCCGTTGTTGAAAACTGAAGGAAAAAATGTCATTTAGTTTCAAAACATATGCCAAGTCATAAACAGCCTGTGGCCAAAGGTGAAAACACAGCCCTCAAACAAGCAAATCACTATATTTCCACAATAATCCTGACAAATACATGTGAGTATACTTTCTTAATATATGTAAGTTAATGATGGGGGTTTGAAACTGGTGATATTTGGAACCTCATGTATGTTCAAGAGGTTACAGGTCACTCCTCAGCACTGCTTTTTTCTTACTTGATTTCCCTCCTGTGATGACTACATGAGTCTCCCAAACAACTATAATAGGTGAGCATAGCTGTCAGTGCACAAACCTTCTAACTCCTCCAATTTTCCTTTAAATCTGGAATCTTGAATCGTCAATTTCACTAATGGTCTCAACTACAAAAGAGTTTTTACCAATAATTCAGGTAGGCCATTGGCCACTCATGAATTTAAATTTAATCAGGGATGCATGAGCACCACGTCCGAAGACGAAGGATGGTCTGATGGCGAAAGCCTTGAGGTCAAGCTGTTTTTAATCATCAGAGTTTTAAGCTCCTCCTCACTAGAAGATTAACGTTGATTCGTCGAGGCCAGTCACGTGGGAGGTCACCCTCCCAAGTACTGACCCCGTGATCTGCTGGTGGAGAGAAATTTTGCTGAGTAAGCAAATTGAAATAAAATAAGCCCAAAGTTTTCTGCATTTCGAATTTTTTCAGTCTAATTTTCTTCCTCAGCAACCTTCATGATATACATTGCAGCGCGGAAACCGGCTGCTAGTTTTTCGCTTGTACTTTTTGCTTTCCTAATTGTTTCCATGTGCTAAATAATGTTGCTTATGAAATCTTGGATTTTACTGTCTGGTAACCATAGCATTACTTCGTTTATTTCTGCTCGTATATTCTTAATTTTTCCTTGAACCATTTCGCTGAATAGTAGTTTATCTATTTTTCCATTTTCTTTTTTGCTTTCTGCCGTTAATTTAGGAAAATCATCAATACGTTCTTTGATTAATACGTGATTTGGTTTGACTATTTTTCTTTTCAACTTTCTCAAACTTCTTTCTGTATTCTACACATCCACGGTAGTGTTGATTTTTCCGATAATAATCCTATGTGTTGTATCTGACTTCGAATCTAAAATTTTCTGAAGAACACAAAAACCTTGTCTAAAACTTAAAGGTTTATTTAACTGGAACTTCAACACTGATGAAAACTTAACATCACAAACAAAAACTTAACATCTTGGGCGGAAAAACTCCAAAGTGCTTTAAAGTAACAGCTATGCCGGCACGGTGAAGAACACTTTCCCTTAAAAGACAGAACCCATCTAGCCCTTTCGGCGTATATCTCCATTTCGCTGAATTCAGACATCCGCTCTTACGTGTTTTGGACTTAAAACGGCCAGGCTGGAACTGGAATAGGACTGGATCAGGACCGGAACAGGACTGGAACAAGACGGGAACCGGAACAGGACTGGATCCGCAACAAGACGGGAACCGGAACAGGGCGGAAACCGGAATCTCTCATCCCCTGGCTTCTCCCCGGGCAGGTCTATTCTGGCTTCGAACTAAAAGGAACTGCGGTGCCACTAAGGAAAGCACCTCCTTTATTTGCCGGCGGTTTGCCGTTACTACAGGCGACTTATGCAAATATTTAACATCCTTCCACCTAAGGGGAAAAAAAAAAAGAACTTAAAAAAAAAGTGAACTTTCACATCAAAGTAAAACAATGCCAAATTAAGCCTTAATATGCCAGTCTGTCCGGCGGAGTTTACAGTTCTACCAGATCGTGTTACAGGCCTGACAGATTTATCATCTATGTTGAGTTTAAGTTCAGACAAAGAATCTTGTTTTTCATTCTGCAGCTTCACGGGTACATCATTTTTGCGCTACCTCTAAAGGATACAGAGTTTGAACTGCTCTAAGCAAAATTCCATTTCGGGTCTTTACTCTTGCAAGTCCGATTTATTCCATCAGGTCCTGGAGGTAGTAGTTCTATGACACGACCAAGTTGCCAAAAAAGTCTTTTGTCACTACTACCGATCAAAACAATATCATCTAATTTAATAGTAACTTTCCTTTCAGCTTTTTTATGCGAAACCTTGAGAATTCCCAAATATTCTTTACGAAATCTATTTTTAAATGCTTCTCGTACAGTTTGAATATACTGAAATCTTCTTTGTAAATTACTTGATTTAATACCGTATTTTATATCCCGCAAACTACTAGTTCTAATTTCTTTTAAAAAGTCGGCAGGAGTTAAAGCTTTAAATTCAGGATCGGAAGGAATTACTGTCAACGGTCGGTCATTAAGAATCGCTTCACAGTCACACAGTATCGTGTACATTTCTTCATAATTTAAACAAGCATGTTTAAGAACTTTTTTAAGGACTTGCTTCATCATTCCGATCAGACGTTCCCACCAACCACCCCACCATGGAGCACCAGGGGGAATAAATTTCCATGTTATCCGCTCATTGGCTGCCTGCCGATTAATTTGTTCAAAATCTATTAATTTAAAT